TTCCCATCCTTTCATGGCTATGTTTATTTTTATCTTCTGTGTGTAGGATTCCTTTGAGAATCTTTTGGAGTGCTGATTTATTGGTCATGTATTGTTTTAAATTCATTTTATCATGGAAGGTTTTTATTTCATCTTCAATTCTGTATGATAACTTTGTCAGGCAGAGTATCATAGGATTGAAATTTTTGTTTTCTTTCAGTGTTTGAAATACCCCACTCCATGCCCTTCTTACTTTTAAGGTTTCTGTTGAAAAATCTACTGTTATTTGGATGGAGTTTCCTTTACATGTTTTCTCTCATATAGCCTTCAATGTTCTTTCCTATTTCTCTAAGCTAATTTGTTTTAACTATAATATGCCGTGGAGTGGTTCTATTTTGGTCATGTCTGTTTGGTGTCCTAGAGACTTCCTATACCTGGACGGGCACCACTTTCTCAACATTTGGGAACTTTTCTGCTATTATTTTGTTGATTATATTTTCTAAACTTTTGCTTGCACCTCTTCTTCACTGATGCCCAGGATTCACAGGTTTTGTCTTCTGATGGAGTCACTGAGTTCCTGCATATTCCTTTCACAATTCTTTAGTCTTTTCTCTAAGAATTCTTTTGTTTTTTCTTTAATAACTATTTTGTCTTCAAGCCCTGAAGTTGTGTCTTCCACTTGTTCTTGTCTGCTGGAGTGGCTTTCAACTGTATTTTTTATGACTTAAGGAACTTTTTGTTACTAGGGATTCTGTTTCATTCTTACAAAAATAAATTTAAAGGGCAATTATAAACCACAAAATATAATTTGCAAATTATACATGAATCAGTTGTCTTAGCATATTATAAATAAATCTAAAATCCCACAATATAAAAATGTACCAAGACAGTCAACCTTAATACCAGCAACCAAAATATTTATGAGAAGATACTGACCCTCATCAAAAATCACAAACATTTAAAAAAATGAATTACACTGTTTATCCCATTTTGCCAAACAACCATCAGTAAGACTAAAACCCAGGTTAGCCATTTGCAGGTAATTTGCCTTATCAACACTTTTAAATACTTTCACTTATTAAATCTACTCTGCTATAATCAAGTAAGTGTTCAATAATATATGCATAAGAATGTTTGCAACAAAATTGGAAGTGGCCCAAATAACCAGCAATAAAAATGGCAATGATAAATTTAATAAAAGTAGCTTAACAATTTTCAGCTATTCTTTATGTAACACACACTATCTAAATCTATACGGATCATCTTCCTTAATTCTCAAGATAATGTCTCCTTTACAAATGAAATCACTGGATCCCATAATTTAAAAAATTTCTCAAGTCACACAAACATTAAGTGAGAAAACTAGGATTTAAAGGTAGGTACTTAACCATAGAACCTTTGCTGATAATAGCAATTCAAAAACTAGGATTTAAAGATAAGTACTTAACCATAGAACCTTTGCTGATAATAGCAATTCTCAGATATCTTCCTAGCCTATAGCATGAATAAGTTAGAGAGGTGCAGAGACACTCATCCCGTCAGCCTGTTTAGATGCCATGAGCAACTAAGGGCATCAATGATGGATATACATTATCATTTTCTGCATCTGTCATTACATAGGGGAAAACTGGGATGCTCTGCTCTGAGAGATGTATAAATGCATGTGGCAAATTCAATAGGAAATAATGGATAAATCTATGAAGTCTGACATGAATAGTCTCCCACCATATTATATGAAAAAGAAGAACTCAAGAAAAGGAAACAATAGAATATGCTTCTATTTTTGTAAATTATAAATATATGTATATTCAAATTTAAGTCAGTCATGTCTATCTAGCTACCTAAAAGGATATATTAAAAAAAAATCAAAAATAACCTAATGGTGCAGAAGGAATTAGGGAGTTAAAAGAAAGTCCTTTATAACCTGTGTTTTGGTGCATGTAATACTAGTTTAAATTTCACTTTCTCTAAGAAACTCTCTAGATACCAGCTGTGTTTTCTCATTTTGTGTTCTCCTTCCATATGACATTGCTTCTTCATCATACTGATTATAATTATAATTAATGTTTCCTTCCCCACCAGAAAATGAGCTTCACTAAGGCAGAAACTAGCCCATAATTACACAGCAATGTCTACTGGAGTTAGCAAGATACCTTGATTGTTCTGTCCATCAACAACAGAATGGAAAGTATTATAGTATAGCCATACAAGGGAATACCATAATGAGAACCAAAAAACTACAAGTATATTCAATAACATGGATAAAGCTCCAAACATGTTGTTGAATCAATGTGGCCAAATAAAAAAGAGCCTAGAGTAACAGATCTCAAGAATATAAAGTTCAACAGGAAAACTAATTTAAATTATTAGCAGTCCAGACAATGGACATGTTTGGGAAGCAACAGAGTGTAGTGACAGGAAGGAGCAACAAAAGTAGGTTCTAGAGTATTGCTAACATTCTACTTCTTGGACTGACTGGTGGTTATATGGGCATGTGTTCATTCTGTGAACTGAGTTGCTCACTTATGCACTGTACTTTTTAGCATATTTTCTTATTTTAATAAATTTTGTATCTATCAAATAAACAAGAGGGAATAGTAATAACAGGCATTTCAGAAGTGAAAAAGCAATAGTTATGTTAACTGGGAATAAGTCTTACAAAGCAATAAAATATCAAGAAAAATGTCACACAATACAGAAGTATAATTACTTCATTAAAAACCCTATAGGTATGGTAATAGATATAGACAAAAATATGCAAAAAGGGAATTTTTACATCATTCAAAAATATATGAAAAAAGCTATACAAATCCCATGTACACATATATATAAGAAATAAGTCCTTTAAAATATTTTTTATCTTCTGGCTTTTATTTTTGCTCATTATAACAGCTCTATATCATTTTGCATGATCTACTCTCTTTAAGCCACAATTACTATTTTGGATTTTCTATTTTCAGTGGAAACTAATCCTAACAAATAAGGTCAGTTTGAGAGAGAAACCCCGGCAGGTGTAACCCTGCCTCTTCCTCCCTAACAACATTCTAGCAGCTACTCTTTCACACTGAATATTTATAGAGGCAGACTCCCAGGTGGGAGGCCCTGTAGGTGAAAGAGTTCTAATGACTGCATTGGTAACTATTTCTAAATTAAAGGTTAAACCTAAGCATATCCACTTACTGAGAATGAAGTTTCATTCTCCAACTCTGCTTTTTATCACTAATATGGCTGCCAGTTTCATCAGAAGATTTTATCACCAGCAAAAATATACAGCATTAAAAAACTGAACTGATCCCTTATCAATAAGGAACTTGATGGAAGTACTTAAGCAGCCCAGATCTGAAAACTTTTTCTCATAGCCAAAACTTCTTTTTAGGGAATATAGCATGACAGAAATATAAAACACTGTTTTCCTGCAACTTAAAATAAACTAAGTGGTAAAGTAACTACAATAAATACATACTATATACGACTAACTTAGGGGAGATAGCAATAAAGAACCAGCCATCATATTTAAAATACAGTGCTGTGTACATTTTTTATGAATACCTAATAATAGCAATGATAAGAATCAATTGCCAAGCAAAATGAAGCAAAACCAGGGAGAGAGAAAGAGAGAAAATATACAAATTTCCAGGATGAAAATGAAAGGAGATTTCAAGTTACTAGTTATGAGCAAGGACTAAAGGAAAACCAATCCACACTGAAGCATGTCATAAAGCTCTAGAAGACTTCCCCAAGAAGATAAAATTGGTAAAGGCAAAGTAAGAGGAGATTTAAGCAATTAGTAGAAAGAGACAAATCAGTAAAACAAACCAAAAAAAAAAACCATAAAACAATTCCAAGGAAAATGAAGGCTAAGGAAAGAAAGAAAAGTAATAACCATTATGGCTTAATTCAATCCTATACATCATGTACAGCAATACTACTACAAATGTAGTAAGCCTTCCTCCCTCCCTATTTCCTTCTTTTCTTCGTCATTTTGTCTTTTTAAAAGAGTAGTTTTTCAGCCTTTCTTAGGAGATTTTAATAGGATGATCAACTAGCCCTGGCATCAGGAAGCCTAGAATTTTTGTAGGTTAGCACGTCAAGTCCTATATCCCAGAAACTCCTGTGTTAGGCACATCAGGAGAAGTGATACCTTAATCTTAACAAATTAAAAAATGCTTATCAATGTAAGACTACTATGCTCATGGCTTTTATTTTATACTGCATACTTTAAAATAGTGTATGTATTTCTGGGAGGCACCCAGCTTTTGGAAGACCAAATTGGATAATAGCAAATTATAGAAAATCAAGGGAAATTTTTAGCTTTTTTAATGTCACAATAGTAAGAAGTGCATAGTTTACTATAGTGACTTACATTTCCTCAAAACTTTTTTTTTAAAGCATTAAAAAAGGAGAATGAGTAAAAAACAAAGCACTGTTGGCAAATCTACATAAAGTGACAAAACTTACAGGTATTTTCATTTTTTAAATATGTAAAAGAAAATAACATTACAATCAAAACATTGTATAACTTTCATATTACAGTGGAAAAGATGTGATCATATAATAATGCATCAGTTTAATGGTTTTACATGTCTTGAGCTGACAAGGATATTAAAAATTAATTTTGGAGAAAAAAATGAGTGAGTTAGAAACCAGAAACATAAAATATAATAAATGGACAATACTGACTGACAGGATGAACAACACGGAGAAGATAAGGTATTATCAGATATATTAACTCAGATACTTTCAAACATAAACTATAATTCTAATTTCTAGTAATCAATCAGAGGCACACTATCATAATAACTCAGATAAAATGTTTTGATTTTCTTGAATTATCTAGATTAAAAGAAAAATAAGCTTGGATACATGTATAGAAAAAGCAGTTCCCAAAATATCAGGTGATCGTGGCTAAGACAGAAAAAGAGAAAGTATACAGGAAATCAAATTTAATTCAAAGAAATAAAACATTATTCAGACATTTAAGTTTTTTAATAAAGAAAATAAAATGAAAATGTTAATAGTACCTTAAAGAACCCTGCTTCAGGACCACACCTGTCATACACATTCCTGGATTTACCTATGGCCATGATAATACCTTGCATATTCGGTGTCATCATAATCTGCCCCAGGGATTTAAAGTAAGAGTTTTTGAATGATTAACAAAAAAAAATTAAACCCAAAATTTCTTTACATGCAAGTTAAAACTCCTTTATTTTCCACTATTTTTAAATCAAATGTTGCATTTATTAAAAAGCAAATGTGATCTTAGGTACAAGGAAGCATCTTTCAGAATCATCTGTACAGGGGCACAGCCAGTTCAAATGGTGCCTTTGTGCAAACTGCAAAAAGGCATTCTCTCTGAAGTGGAAAAATTTTAAAGGTACTCCTTTCTGGACAAATTAGAAAAATTTGCTGCCATCTGAGAAAACTACTAAGAAAAAGGCAGCTTCTTTTTTTTTTTTTTTTTTCAATCAGTTAAAAAGCCTGAAGACTTGGTAAGTTCAGGACGAGCTCAATATTTATCCCACTTCTATTCCTTGTAGGAATGCCTACAAAACAACTGTACAACCTGCACATCTGAAAGCAACAGTCTTATATCCATAGGACTTAATTTGAAAAGCTCCAACACACATGCACTAGGGTAAACTGTCACTCAAAATAAAACAGCAACAACAAAATAAATGACTCTGCCAATAACAATCACTTGCACAAGACAGTGTTAGCTGCTTGATCAATAACATTTTTATTGAAAACATCCCAGTTTCCCTAATTTTCAAGAGCCACCATGGCAATAAAATAGTGCTAATTAAGCACTAAGTACTTAAGTGTTTTTGTTCTCAAAGTAACTTATTATTCTTAGCTGTTTAATTTTAAAATTATCTGCAAAATGAACTAACTTAAAGTTCTATGAAACAATCAAAAGACTGCAGCCACTACCTCTGACTTACGGAACCTATTACTTATAGTTTTATTTTGGATTATATTCTGTTAGTTGCAGCACACTAATACTATCTTCTTAGGAAATCCCTCTGACTGGTTCCTGTCTCACAAATCTACTTACTCTTTTAGTAGACATGATTTGTCTTACATTAGCACAGTGACATTAATGTCTTTATGATACTTTTGGCTTTGGTGATTAACTTTAATATAATAATTAAAACACTGGAGTGTGGAAAAAGAATACTTGGGAAAATGCTTGGTAAGTTTTCAGTTCTTATCCACATCTGGAAAAACAAATAATAGAATCCAACAAGTTCCTAGCCTGCTTTATAGGCATGGTCTTCTCTACTGCTTCTGCTTTACTGGCCCTTCCTCATTTGCAAAAAGGAAGAATTTTAAGAGTTCCAGGAAAAAAGTGGAAAAGAAGTGATCATAATCTGACTGACCAAGACAATAACAGATCATTTTCAGCTGGATTCTGAAGAACTCTCTCATGAAAAATAAAAACATCTGACTGCTGGGATAACTGAGTAGATGAGAATAATCAGAATAGATAAAGAAGAAAGAAGATGAGGCACCAAAGTGCGTGAAATGCTACTGGGCATTCAGTAATGCTGGTGAGTCATTCCACTCATTAGCACAGGCTAAGGCTGTAGTAGCAAAAATATCTTGCAATCTTGCTATAGGACTGTCTAGTAGGTAACAGTAAGCAAAGTGTAAAATAAATTATTCAACTAAAATAGGAAGGGAAAATAAAAATTACTTTAAATGCAAAAATTGCTACATAATTAAATCTTATTGTAACCTGTCAACCTGAAAATAAACTGATCCTGTTTTTGTATAAAAGAAGTACTCTAGAAATATAAAGTTATTCTTTTGACATAATCCATAGCCTTCTACTTAAATTTTTATTTAAATTCAAAGCTCCATTAGTAAATGGTGAGGTAATTTCACACCATGGGTAGCAAAGCTGTATATTATGCAGCAACAGACATAAATGTAATGGTGTAGGCATGCTCAAAGTACTTGCATTAAACAGCAAAAAATAAGAATGGTGCAGAATGCTACAATAAAGGTACCTCGTCATCGTACCCTCCCTCTTTTGACTTAATCATAAATTTCCCTACATGAGGGATCGCCACCTCTACAACTCGCTGGTTAGAAGGTGGTTGGCTTGTGGTATTATCAGGTGTCTGCAGAAGAAAATCATTGGTATGAAAATTAGAAAAAAGAACAATGGTAGCAACAATTTAAGTGCACAGATTCTTAAATCTTTTCAAACTGGCTGCATTTGCTAGGTATGCAATGAGACAACCCGAAACTGAAATTGGAAGCAAATTTATTAACCAAATAGTAATATACAATCTATAACCTTCTCTTTTACATCCTAAGCACATAAGAGCAGCTTTTCATTTTTATGCCCCCCTAAGCATAAAATAATAAATAGTAGAGCTGTGTTTCCTACTGTTTAAACAACTAAACTATTACTTAAAAAAACTCCAATAACTCAAGAGAGCCTTTCTTGATATTTCAACAAAAATAAGATTATGACCTTCACAATTCCATCAGAATTTAGAGGGTTTTCTCTTTAAGGCTTACTTTTCTACCCTTTCTAGTAATTAATTGTGTATCCAGTTAATATCCATACTCTGTTGAGTTCAACTCAGCTCTGAATAGCCTTTAAGATTCATTACAATATATTTACATCTTAAGTGTGTAATGAATTATTGCTGAAAATTAAGAAAAAGCTGTCAAAAAGTGGTATCCATTTTTAACAACTCAGTCAGATTTATTCTTTATTTTTTCATTGCTAGCAAATTTTATGAATTTCACTTATTCATACTAATAGAGTGGATGCCAATATGAAATCTAAAAATAAAGTTCACTCAAAAACACTAATATAATTTGTTCAAAATATTATTCAAATTTTATAGTCTTAGTTTACTGATAGGTTTATAATGAGCATCTATAGTATTTACTAATCAACACATACACTGAAAAGGCTTAAAATCAGTTGACGTCACTTCAATTTGCATTGTAACTTTTCCTAAGCAATGATAAACTTTACTTCTGATGTGGAATAAAGAAATTTTAATAAGAGCAATTAAAGAGATTTTTTTATTTCCATTTGAAATATAGGTAAAAATTTTAGAAATAATAAACTTTTTCTGAATTTTCAGAACTACATATTCAGAAAAGTTTAAACAATAAAACAAAATTAATGCCCAGACTAATTAAGCCCCCTTTTAAAAGAAATTCTGTTTCTTTCAAAATTGTCATTCTTGTAAAGCTTTTATAAATGGTTTCCATACTTACCTGACTCCTCAACTTTCCAAGAGGAGAGTCGTGTCATAAAACATTAATATTATTGTGATCACAAAAGATAATATTCAACTAACCCAACACCTAGTACATAATGGGTGTTACCAATATTATTATACTATTTTATTATATTACTTTAAATTGCTATATTTGAGTAGCTCTAAATGCATATTACTAGCATACATATTCTATAGAGATGTGCTTATCATTAAGGATTCTGAATCTGGGCACATGAAAGAAGAATCCTCCATTTACAAAAGTGAAACATAAAAAGGAAATTAAGAAATCTATCTGTAGTTTTGGTGACAAATTTATTACTACCAGAGCAATCCAAAAAATCTAGAAAATAGAAGCTAAGGGAAATAGCAACAGAGACATACATTACTAAAAACACTGATCCTTGTAAAACAACATACCTTGGGAGCAGCTAGGGAAAATGTTTTATAAACCTATAGTAACTGCTGAATGGTTTCAACAGCATAGTGATGAGAAAGGGAAGAAGCTTTGGTTGTGTATAATAATACAGTATCACTCATTAAATTTAGATATACTAAGGAAAAATAATTTTTCCACATAAATAAGTGCTTGTTGAAATAAAGTATATGCTTATTTATCTTTTTTGTATCATTTTTAGGCCTTATATGAACACATTAAATAAAGATTAAGCTTGAAAAGAGTTAAAAATAAGTTCCTCGGTAAGATGCAAAAATAATTACAATTCAAAGATTTTTCATTAACTACCTAAAATCCATTAGCCCATTTGACCACATTAATATGCCATCCCTTTAACTTAGAAATTCAACTATGGGGAATCTATTCTAAGGAAAAAGCCTAAATACAAAATTTTATTTACAAACAGCCTATTTATAATAATGTACAAGCAAAAACAAGTATGTAATGGAAAAATGGGCAAGTAAACCAAAATTTAATTACTTAGTAGAATAATACTCAACTATCAGATGTTTTTAAGTAAACCAAAATTTAATTACTTAGTAGAATAATACTCAACTATCAGATGTTTTTAAGTAAGTTTATAACATGGAGAAATGGTTATAAGGTAAGGTGACTAAGATAAGAAAAGGCAGTGAGTGAGGCCTTGAGTTCAAACCCCAGTGTCAACAAAAGAAAAAAGGAAGAAAAGGCAGGATAATTGAATTTTATACACAACAGTAACTCAACTACAAAAATAAATCCCAAAATTATGTTTAAAAGTAAAAGTGAAAAAAAAAACCCCAACAATATTGAGTTACTAATGCTGAGCAGTGAGTGGGACTGTGGATGATTTCTTCTTGGAGTCTCCTTTTTAATAATTTTTTTTTGTATCTTAAATCATTCCATTTAACAGTACAGGTATTCTATTTGATTTCTGTGGTCATAAGTTTATAGAGAATTCTGCTTATTCTAAGGTTAGCACGAATACATTGTGTATTCGTGAAATGCCAGTGAGTGAAGTAACAGAAGGGAAACAGTGTCCACCACACGCCATACCAGGCACAACGTGAAAAATTACTCTTCATTAGCTTCACAATCATTTCTATTTCATGGAAAAGAAAACTGAGACTTAAATTAAGCAATTAATTCCAGGCTGCATTAATAATAAGTAAAATCAATAATCAAAATCCCAGTAAAATACTTGATGCTGAAGTGTAAAGACTCTTAATTTAGCTTCTAATGTATATTAAATTTAAATGTGAAACACAATATAAAGTGGTTACCAGGCTTAAGAAACCAACCAGGAGACCAAGAACTACAAAACACTTCTGATAGCCAACATTAACAAATTCTTAGACATGCTGCATTGCAGGATTATATAGACAATGAGGCCAACTACAGATACTATTCCAGAAGACAAGTAATGTGGGAAATATTTACAGTGTTTTCCTATCATTTTATCTTCCTGCCATCATTCTTTTTCAAATACAGGTGACATCATAGGTTGCCAGTTTATGAGATGATATTTTCTTTAAGAAAACTAAGCCATCAAAATTTAACTGCTGGTTTTTGTGAATTTAAATTACTTATGATTAGCAATACTGAAAAAAAAAAAAAACCAAAAAAAACAAACCATGACTCTACATTAAGTAATGCATTTGGTTTTCTAATACTAAAAGGATCACTCTAATTAGCCATAATTTATGTGCTAACAAAAGTTCTAATTAGCAAAGACCCTATGAATTCATTTTTATATATGTTAAAAATATGTCTCCCTTGTACCTGGTCCTCTTGTTCTAGGTTTTCCTCTTCCCATCCCAAGAAGCATAATTCCCAAACCCATTAAAAAAGTATTTTCCAAGAAAAGCTATAGTTACCAGATGAACATTCATCATAAACTCATTTATAGTCTGCAAGGCATTTGCAGAATTTGGAATCATAAAAATATCTATTAATATTAATGTATCTTTACGGGTAGGATACATTTTCAAACTGGATTTGAAGGCAAAGGAATTTATGACTATTATTTAGTTTGTCAAAACAGTTATCAGAATACCCTATTTATTGGATATTTTGGCTAAGTTAAGTCTTATATTATAGGTCTCATTGCAATTAGCAGGTAATTGTTAAGACTGAGTTGACTTACCAAGCAGGAAATTATGTGATGTAAAATTATGATATATCCTGTTATCTTTAGTTCTCTCGGAGGGGAAATCCTTAAACACTAAAAGGAGCTACCATAAAACCTTCATCAGAGCTGTTTATACTGACTACAAAAGTAAAGTGAATGATAAACTACAGAAACTAAATGCTTCTGCAGTACCAAATTCTTGAAAATAAGCATCTCAGAAAGTCATATTCAATGATAACACCACTGTGCTCAATTTAATGCTACACAAACTTACAACTATAATATAGCAGGATAATTAATTAATGACATTTTTGCATAGGACACTCTTGAACTATGTGCAAAATGTTTTGTAACATTGTATTTGTCCTGCTAACAATCTCTACCTAAGAGTACCTAGTACTCTTATTTTTAAACACATTTTATAGGACAATGAAAACTGTATCTTAAATTCCTAACTATTCCAAAGTAATCAGATTTCAGCTGTAGCAGAGGTGAGGGACTGGAGAATTAATGTTAAACTTCATACTTCTCCAATTCCAAGTCAAATGGACAATTTAGTCTGATCTTGGTTCTATGACAGGAAGACAGAAACTGAAGAGAAAAACATCTTTAAAATTATAAACTGAGAAAATTATAGCCCAGGGTCACGTGACTTGCAATGTTCACTGATCATATTTATGGCAGAGACATTTCTGGATCCTGTGTTTGTTGAATCCCAAACAGGTCGCTCTCCATTACATGGTAGGAAACGTCAAGAACATGGCTATGTTCAGAGAGCCAAAAGAAAATTCTTACCGACTGCAAAACTGTTTCAGGACTTTTATCTTCATGCTCATGTGATGCCTTGGTAATTATTCGAATAGTTTCTTCTTTCAAGTGCTTTGAGAAATCACTTCTTGATGGCTGCTCTAGATATTCTGGTTCTCCTGCTTGTGCTTCATGAGAAAAGAATCAATTGCATATCTAATATAAATCACAGTCTTTACTAAGATGAATCTGTTATTTATTTATAATTCTGAAATTATACAACAACCAAGTTTGCTTTTGTACTAAAGTAAAATACATCTTTCACCACACAGCACATCCCACCCCCCAAGAATTTACAAATGAACAAAATAACTCAAAAACCTAGAACCAATAGTATTGAAATAATTATTAAAGAATGTACTCATTACAGCTTATGAAAAGGAACGAACAGTAAATTTTTCCAGCAATCACTACCATAATGCCAAAAAAGAATTTAGTTTGGACAACAATCCTGGACTGAGTTTCCCCGAGTACAAATATTCTTTTCACAGCTACCTGACAAAACTCTATTCCTGAATGAACCTAACCTTGTATCTTTTCCAAATCTACCCTTGGCAGCAGAATACTGTCAGAGAAAAAGCAATTATAAATTAGCAAACTAATTCCAATATATATTTATGAACTGAAATACCAAACATGAAGAATTTTCAAAGTTGTATCTTCAACTCCTACTTATCTTTTGAGCCTTGGACTCCTATGCCCAATAATATTCCAATTAGCTACTAAGTATTTTATAAATCCTTACATAACTCATAAGGCTTTACATCAGTGGGCTTCTGTCTTTCTGTACAATGTCATCTGTGTCCTTTGCTCAAAATGGTCCACATGCTAGCCTTTCTTCTGTTTTCTAATACACCGAAGGAGAAGCTTAATTTCCTACCTTCTTGTCTATTCTCTTTTTTTTTTTTTTCATTTTTCTTTTATTATTCATATGTGCATACAAGACTTGGTTCATTTCTCCCCCCTGCCCCCACCCCCTCCCTTACCACCCA